CCTGTAGTAAACACAGATCAGCTGTCCTGTTGTAAACACAGATCAGCTGTCCTGTAGTAAACACAGATCAGCTGTCCTGTAGTAAACACAGATCAGCTGTCCTGTAGTAAACACAGATCAGCTGTCCTGTAGTAAACACAGATCAGCTGTCCTGTAGTAAACACAGATCAGCTGTCCTGTAGTAAACACAGATCAGCTGTCCTGTAGTAAATACAGATCTGCTATCCTGTAGTAAACACAGATCTGCTATCCTGTAGTAAACACAGATCAGCTGTCCTGTAGTAAATACAGATCTGCTATCCTGTAGTAAACACAGATCTGCTATCCTGTAGTAAACACAGATCAGCTGTTCTGTAGTAAACACAGATCTGCTATCCTGTAGTAAACACAGATCAGCTGTCCTGTAGTAAACACAGATCTGCTATCCTGTAGTAAACACAGATCAGCTGTCCTGTAGTAAATACAGATCTGCTATCCTGTAGTAAACACAGATCTGCTATCCTGTAGTAAACACAGATCAGCTGACCTGTTGTAAACACAGATCAGCTGGCACTTCATTCACGAAACTGAGACATTGCGATCGTGTCTATTGATTTTCCACGCTTCCTCTTTAGTACATCTTACTCTGCCTTGGGGGCTTCTCTTTCATGTTATCTATCTGGTTTATGCTTCTTATTCTTATGTCTGTCGATGTCCTGTGTTGTTCTGTTTTGTTATCGTCTCGTCTAATGATGTGCGTTTTTCTCAAGGTTTTCCTTATTCTCAGAGGGGCTCTGAGGCTTGAACTACAGTCACTTATGTATTGTAAGAACATAAGAACATAAGAACAAAGGTAACTGCAGAAGGCCTATTGGCCCATACGAGGCAGCTCCTATCTATAACCACCCAATCCCACTCATATACTTGTCCAACCCGCGCTTGAAACAATCGAGGGACCCCACATCCACCACGTTACGCGACAATTGGTTCCACAAATCAACAACCCTGTTACTGAACCAGTATTTACCCAAGTCTGTCCTATATCTAAACTTATCCAATTTATACCCATTGTTTCGTGTTCTGTCTTGTGTTGATATTTTTAATACCCTATTAATATCCCCCCCTGTTATGTCCATTCATCCACTTGTAAACCTCTATCATGTCACCCCTAACTCTTCGCCTTTCCAGTGAATGCAACTTAAGCTTTGTTAATCTTTCTTCATATGAAAGATTTCTAATTTAGGGAATTAACTTAGTCATCCTACGTTGGACACGTTCAAGTGAATTTATATCCATTCTATAATATGGCGACCAAAACTGAACTGCATAATCTAAATGGGGCCTAACTAGAGCAAGATATAGCTTAAGAACCACTGCAGGTGTCTTGTTACTAACGCTTCGATTAATAAATCCCAGTGTCCTATTCGCCTTATTACGAACATTCATGCATTGATCCTTTTGTTTTAAATTCTTATTAATCATAACTCCCAGATCCCTTTCGCAATCCGACTTCGCAATCTCAACACCATCCAGCTCGTATCTTGTAACTCTATCATCATTACCTAGCCTCAGAACTTTACATTTATCAGCATTAAACTGCATCTGCCAATCCTTTGACCATTTCAAAACCCTATCTAGATCAACTTGAAGTGATAGTGAGTCCTCCTCCGAATTAATTTCCCTACCGATTTTCGTATCATCGGCAAATTTGCAAATGTTGCTACTCAAACCTGAATCTAAATCATTTATATATATTATAAACAACAGAGGTCCCAGGACAGAGCCCTGAGGTACTCCACTTGTGTTGGTTGTTAGTGGTATTGGTGGCTTTCAGTTCATTCTTTTATGGTTGAGTTCGCCCTTTTCCTTCCCTTTCTCATATGACTATTTCATGTTCCAATATACCCCCATTCCTTCGCTACATGTCTCTCCCTCTATGAACCTAACATTTCGCTATCATTTCATGTTATCTTCCCTTCACCCCCATGTCTTCCCTCACCCCATTCATCCATGTACCTCATCAAGACTCGCTGGTTCAACGTTACTATCCAGCAGGAATGATTGTAAGTTGCAAGCTATTCCCGTGACAAACTGTTGCACATAAATCAACATTCACCCTTATTGATCTTATGGATAGTGAACTCCCCAGAGAGGCTAGAGAGGGAGACCCATAGAGCATACGTGTGTAGGCATCAATCCACTCCCTCATACCGTGTACTCAAGCATCCATCTATTGATTATCAAGACCTGTTTTTCCACATTGTAAAAAGTGGATTTTGAATCACTCTTGGATGAGAGGAATCACGAAGCCTTCCCACCATAATAAGGCTTCCATTCCCTGAGATTCAGATCGTCGGTATTGTTGCTGTTTAAGATTCGCTACCTGGAACAGAAAGTTCCAAGTAGCACGGGCTATGGCGAGCCCGTAAACTGCCTTCCTTCCTTCAGATCGTTGTTAGACGTTTGTTATGATAATGTCCTGAGCCACAAAGAAAGAGTTTGCGGCTACGACTGGCAAGTGGTCGTTAGGCGGTCTCGCATTTTTCCTCAACGACACAATAGCAGTGAGAATACGACCCCATCAGCTGGCTGTTAGAGAACACAGATGAAAATATGAGGAGAATCCTTGTGAGGGTCCGTAGTGACATGAGGGTGAAGGTCATTGTGAGGTAGAGGGCCACTGTTGTGTTTAATGACATATATATATATATATATATATATATATATATATATATATATATATATATATATATATATATATATATATATATATATATATATATATATATATATATATGTCGTACCTAGTAGCCAGAACGCACTTCTCAGCCTACTATGCAAGGCCCGATTTGCCTAATAAGCCAAGTTTTCCTGAATTAATATATTTTCTTTTTCTTATGAAATGATAAAGCTACCCATTTCATTATGTATGACGTCAATTTTTTTTATTGGAGTTAAAATTAACGTAGATATATGACCGAACCTAACCAACCCTACCTAACCTAACCTAACCTATCTTTATAGGTTAGGTTAGGTTAGGTACCAGAAAAAGTTAGGTTAGGTTAGGTAGGTTAGGTAGTCGAAAAACAATTAATTCATGAAAACTTGGCCTATTAGGCAAATCGGGCCTTGCATAATAGGCTGAGAAGTGCAATGAAACATAATCCCTCTTCTGGGATTATGTTTCATTGTTCAATCAAATTTTTGTATTCCTATATTCCAGATATTTGCATTAATATTTTTACCATCAGAGATTTTATTATTATTTTTTTTACCCTATGCGGAACCCGGCTGTGTCTCGTTGGGCACGTACCCCACAGTAATCACCGTGCAAAGTTGGGTCTAGCCCAGAGGCAGCAGCGAGAGGAGACACTAGAGGAGCACCTCCACACCCTTACTGCCGTGCCTGGCACCCTCACTGCCGTGCCTGGCACCGTACCTGCCGTGCCTAGCACTGTACCTGCCGTGCCTGGCACCGTACCTGCCGTGCCTGGCACCGTACCTGCCGTGCCTGGCACCGTACCTGCCGTGCCTGGCACCGTACCTGCCGTGCCTGGCACCGTACCTGCCGTGCCTGGCACCGTACCTGCCGTGCCTGGCACCGTACCTGCCGTGCCTGGCACCGTACCTGGCACCGTACCTGCCGTGCCTGGCACCGTACCTGCCGTGCCTGGCACCGTACCTGCCGTGCTTGGCACTGTACCTGCCGTGCCTGGCACTGTACCTGCCGTGCCTGGCACCGTACCTGCCGTGCCTGGCACCGTACCTGCCGTGCCTGGCACCGTACCTGCCGTGCCTGGCGTGCCTGGCACCATACCTGCCGTGCCTGGCGTGCCTAGCACTGTACCTGCCGTGCCTGGCACCGTACCTGCCGTGCCTGGCACCGTACCTGCCGTGCCTGGCACCGTACCTGCCGTGCCTGGCGTGCCTGGCACTGTACCTGCCGTGCCTGGCACCGTACCTGCCGTGCCTGGCACCGTACCTGCCGTGCCTGGCACTGTACCTGCCGTGCCTGGCACTGTACCTGCCTGGCACTGTGGCATTAATAGCGGTTGATGCTGTCTCAAAGCCCTCTCTAAATGGCGTAATAATTGTCCTCATTATCCTATGCATAAGATTCTCCTCCTCTTCACTCTCCTTCTCCTTGCTGTTCTCCTTTACTTTGTCCTCTTCAGCTTCTTCCCTCTTATCTCCTCCTGTTCCTCTTCTCCCTCTTCTCCTCTTCCATGTCTTCTCTTCCTCCCAGCATGGCCAGAAAGGTAACTCTAGTCGTGTAATAGTAATAGTAATAGTCGTGTAATAGGGATAATAGTCGTGTGGTTTGAGAGGCTTGCAGAGGGCGCCAGAAGCTGGACTTGGTCTGAATTGCTTGTGAATGTAGCGTAGAAATATTGGTCTTGGGCTTGCATGTGCAAATGCTAACTCTAATATACCATTTACACACGTAAAATGCATGTGTAAATGCTATATTTAGGCATCTTTGCTTACCCAACCTGACCTTTCACCCCCAACCTGACCTTTCACCCCAACCTGACCTTTCACCCCCAACCTGACCTTTCACCCCCAACCTGACCTTTTCCTACTCAGGTTCAAGGCTCGTTACAGACACCCACGCAGAGCCTCGCGTATCTGGATCAGAATTTGTGATGCCTTAGTTAGTTTATCTTGAGGTAATCTGAGTCCAATATTCTTACTTACAGATGGCTGCTAGACACGTAGTTCCCGTCTAACAACCCCTCTGTAAACAACTAGTAAACAACACTAGTTTAAAGTATGAAAGTGATATTAATACACAACAATATATGAATTATACTACAGAAGATCTATTGACCCATACGTGGCAGCTGATATTTATATCCACCCAAACTCATTCACGTACATGAGTGAGTTTGAGTCCCACGGAATGAGTCCCACATACATCATGCTACCCGGTAATTGTAGTAATGCAATGGGACATTTTATTACTACAGGCGTAGTCATACAGGCGTAACATTGATGGAGAACAGGTTGTGAGAACTTACTTATTGATACCGTCGAAGTCAGCACCCACACCAACATGGTCGAGCCCCGCCACGTCCCGGATATGATTGATGTGACCTGTGAATGAGACACATAAATAGTTGATGTGAAATCTTAATCCTCAACATTCTTGCATGTTGCAAATATCATTAGCCAGTTGTGTACTCACAAGTGAGATCACAGTGACGAGATCTGTGTGAGCATCTTGGGAGCAGGACGGCCGGATGCTGCGACGATCCTGCCCGTTTATCGACACAGAAAGATAAAATTTAGAAGGATCACGATATGATTTTTGTTTTTGAAAAACGGCAACACGTGAGACAAATGAGAGTCGGTGGCTTACATGTAATGGAAATGTCAAATTTATATTTTTTACATAAAATTACAATTTTAATTTACATAAAAATTACATCTGAAGTGTTTTGAACATGATAGCAAGCGGTAAGAAAAGAATGGAGACGTTATCATTCCATCCACGATATCTTACGGGACTTTCGGGAAGGGGATAAGATCTGATTGCCTCTGGAAGAATATGCTGCTTGCATCACGAGTTTCCAATCATGCAGATGTAGTGACAAGAGATTCTGGCGACTCGCGAATCATCGATGGACGTAATGCTGTCATCTGTTACTATCTGTGCTTGCAAATCCCGCTGCAGTGAACTTTCCCCAGGAGTAGATCCTCTATAATTGTTGGAAACGTTTTACTTTTGATCTTAAAGTGGAATCTATAGTGTCGAGCATCACTGCCCCTCAGGCTTTCCCTTCTTCCCTTTCTGGGGTAACCTCCCACGTACCTCTTCAACTAATCTTATCTCCCAGGCGACCTCTCTCTCTCTCCCACCCGCTCCCAAATGCACCCCAAGTCTCCCCCGTCACTGTCTGTCTTGCTCTCAACAGTTAAATGCCTCATTCCCTGCCTCTTGTGAGTCTCAGATTGCTTCACTCCTTGCCTCTAGTGAGTCCTAGCGTCTTGCTTCACTCCTTGCCTCAAGTGAGTCCCAGCGTCTTGCTTCCTCATATGAGTCCCAGCGTCGTGGGCTGCCTCATATGAGTCCCAGCGTCGTGGGCTGCCTCATATGAGTCCCAGCGTCGTGGGCTGCTTCATATGAGTCCCAGCGTCGTGGGCTGCTTCATATGAGTCCCAGCGTCGTGGGCTGCTTCATATGAGTCCCAGCGTCTTGGGCTGCCTCATATGAGTCCCAGCGTCTTGGGCTGCCTCATATGAGTCCCAGCGTCTTGGGCTGCCTCATATGAGTCCCAGCGACTTGGGCTGCCTCATATGAGTCACAGCGTCGTGGGCTGCCTCATATGAGTCCCAGCGTCGTGGGCTGCCTCATATGAGTCCCAGCGTCTTGGGCTGTCTCATATGAGTCCCAGCGTCGTGGGCTGCCTCATATGAGTCCCAGCAACTCACACTGCCTCATACTCAAGTCCCGTCAAGCGAGATCTCACATTGAAAAAACTGTATAAACCTAAATTGTCTGTCCTTAATTAGTGGTTTTACACGGAATGTGTTTAGCAAAAACTGCACAAAATACTTAGTTCACTATTCTAAGCGTAGCGTTATTACTTTGTATAGGATAGGTAAATTTTATTACGCATTTCTCATCAATGAGAAATGAGTTCATATTGCACATATCGGGCAACTAATCGCGTTCAAAGCTTCCTCAGTAGGTAAGCAAATTCTCTACTCAGAGTCATAAGACTAAAACAATCTGTTACTGGTCGACGACCGGGCCGCGGGGACACTAAGCCCCGGAAGCACCTCAAGGTAGCCTCAAGGTAGCTACCTACACTAATGTCACTATTAGACAAGTACAGCTGACCTGCGTCCTGCGTCTCGACGCAGGACGCAAAACACATTTCAGCATTGAACAAATCCACAAGGATCATGCCGAGGGTTCGAACCTACGTCCGAGAGGTTCCCAGACGCTGCCTTAATCGACTGAGCTACGACATGGTTAAAAGAATTGCAACCGGGAAATCATCCTGATTTACCAACGGATCCTGCAGTCTCTCCGAGACACAAACCAGGATTTTACGCAGTTCCCCCCCCCCATGCACCCCCCATTGTGCACCATGCACAATTCCCTCCCTAGGTTCGAACCCTCGACACGGCCCTTGTGGATGTGTTCATTTGATTCATCACGCTACTGTGATTTCTGTGTGCACATTTCTGCATTGATCAATCAGAATGATCGAATCTATGACTTAATCATTCACTTCCACTTTAGGTCAGGATTTATTAAACATTTACGTGGCCACTAGCGGAACCTGTGCATCTTTCCTTAGTCTTGGGGACTTAGTTTAGATTCATTTAAATATTTGATGAGCTCCGAGGCGCTAAGAAAGTGTTTATTTCAATAATATTCTTGGGTTGTGAAGTTTCGGAGCTCGTAAACTGTTTAATAAAGGTAAGCTGCCATGAATAAGGAAAGATGTAAAGATTTCGTAAATAGTTGCATAAACAAAAATTCGAATCCTGGACAGTGGAATCCTGGAAGGTTGCCTTGTACTTACGAAGGCAGTGACGCAAACATTGGGGTACTTACGCAAGCAGTGACGCAAACATTAGGGTAGTTACGCAAGCAGTGACGCAAACATTTGGAGTACTTACGCAACCAGTGACGCAAACATTAGGGTACTTACGTAACCAGTGACGCAAACATTAGGGTACTTACGTAACCAGTGACGCAAACATTAGGGTACTTACGTAACCAGTGACGCAAACATTAGGGTACTTACGTAACCAGCGACGCAAACATTGGGGGAGGTACTTACGGACAACATCGAGGACTGACGCAGAGTCGTTACAGGTCAGGAAGTAGTTATAGAAACTGACCATTACAATCCCACCGTTTAAGTGCTGGAACATAAAGAGGGAAAGCCGCATTACATCTCAAGAAAATGGTGAATCTTTCGTGGCCTTTTCACCCTCGTAATAACTAGAGCAAATGTCTTACATATATATTAAAATATTGATTGTAACTGTGATATATATATATATATATATATATATATATATATATATATATATATATATATATATATATATATATATATATATATATATATATATATATATATATGTGCCAGTTTAGAGCTATTGTCTTGTGTATGACCCTCTGTGTTGTGTGTCAGTCAATACCAGCATTATCCTCACTTTAATAGGACCTAATTGAAATTCCTCAGATTAGGCAAAATTGTAAATAATTTTTATCAATAAAGATGTTATTAATAATAATAATAATGACGGTGTAGACTTGATAAATGGTTAGAGTGAAGAAACGGCATTTATTTCAGAGGTCTTTTATTTTTACTCTTTTGGTTAGTAATTTCTCATTTTCAAAGCATTTTAAAAAAAATTATACAATTGATTCCTAGTTATCGAAGGCACACACACACACACACACACACACACACACGCACACACACACACACACACACGCACACACATACACACACACACACACACACACACACGCACGCACACACACGCACACACACGCACACACATACACACACACACACATACACACACACACACATACACACACACACACACACACACACACACACACACACACACACACACACACACACACACACACACACACGCACACACACGCACACACATACACACACACACACACACACACATACACACACACACACACACACACACACACACACACACACACACACACGTAATCTGTACTTGACTGATTGAGGTTGATTGCTGTACTAATCACCACATCAGCCAATCAACTGATGTACTGATCTGTAAATCAGTTGATTGACGGTTGAGAGGCGGGACCAAAGAGCCAGAGCTCATCCCCCACAAGCACAACTAGGTGAGTACACACACACACACACAGACACACACACACACACACACACACACACACACACACACACACACACACACACACACACACACACACACACACACAACATGCATGAGTACCCATAGAATCATTCATTAGACATAGTAGGGGGGGGGGCCCACCTATCACTTGCGACCAATCAGAAACCACTTACCACTTGTTTGAGGATATCATCTGGAACATTGCGGGAGTGGCGACACAGGGCGTGAGCTGACGAGTGCGAGAAGATGACAGGTGCGCGAGAGACGGCCAGAGCATCCCGCATCGTCTGCTGAGAAACGTGAGAGAGGTCCACCAGCATCCCGAGTCTGTTCATCTCCAGCACTACTTTCTGACGGATGGGACGGAAAGATAGGTGGGTCAGTTAGGGAAGAATAGTGGGTTAAGTGGGCTAGGCAGGTGGGTTAGGGGTAGGGGAGACAGGTAGATTATTTTGGAACAGGTGTATTAGGTGGGGGAAACAGGTGAAGTTATGAAAAACAGAAATAATCACGAGACAGACTAATTTTTTAAATACATCGTGATGGAAAGTCAAAGGAAGAATAATTTTTCACGGAAGATAAGGAAATTATGTGGAAGCTTGCAGGTCTGTTGAACGTTGAATGGATATGAGGACAAGGAGCTGGGATATGAGGACAAGGAGCTGGGATATGAGGACATGGAGCTGGGATATGAGGACAAGGAGCTGGGATATGAGGACAAGGAGCTGGGATATGAGGACAAGGAGCTGGGATATGAGGACAAGGAGCTGGGATATGAGGACAAGGAGCTGGGATATGAGGACAAGGACCTGGAATTTGAGGACAAGGAGCTGGGATATGAGGACCAGGAGCTGGGATATGAGGACAAGCAGCTGGAATATGAGGACAAGGAGCTGGGATATGAGGACAAGGAGCTGGAATATGAGGACAAGGAGCTGGGATATGAGGACAAGCAGCTGGAATATGAGGACAAGCAGCTGGAATATGAGGACAAGGAGCAGGGATATGAGAAAACAGAACTGAGATACGAGGACGGAATAAGAGCTGGGATTTAAGACCAGTCTTGGAAAGTTTTATTAGTGAGTTAAGTGATATATTGCAAGTCCAGGTAGGCGCAGAGAACAATTTCCAACCAGGAACTGAAACACATCTTAAGAAAGTGATGCATTATATTAGTAAAAAATAATATAGACAAATTGCAAGACAGAATCAAATTTATATCAAAGAATGGAGGAAAATATTTTAATTTGATAAACACATGATTCAATAAATTTTATAGCAAGTGAAAGAAAAAATTAAGATTCGGATGAGGAAGTGCCAAAAATAGGATTTTATAAACGAAGATTTTTTAACATAATTTCAAGTGGAGAAAGTGCATGACGGAAGAAAATTTAAACTAGTGGACGAGGCCAAATAATATACACATGGAGGTAACAATCAGGAGAAAACACTAACAAGTGAAGATGGGAACTGCCTAACTTCCAGGAACATCGGGGTATTGAACCCAGACGCTGCAAGAAACAACACCGTCGCTCTATCCAGCAATCCAAATGGATGAGCCGGATAGAAAATCCTCCAGAACGGGATGAAAACTCCAAATCCGAAATTTTCAGGCAATTCAAATGAAGGAAGAAGTCAAACTAAATGGCAAAAAAACAAATAGAGTCAACGGAAAACTTTAGCAATTCGAGGCATGTAGCTCTCGAAGCTCCTCCAGTTGTCAGAGGCAGAAGAGGCCACAACAGAGGCGACCAGAGCAATATCCCCACAAGAGGCCAAGACCAACCGATTACAGCTCTCCTGGATACGGCATGATGGAATTCCGGGAAAATAATAATAAAACGCGACATTCAGGAAAGCCTCGACGATAGAATTATGAGAGACATCTTTAGGGAGGATTCCAGAAGAGCAGACGAGGGCATCCCAGGAGAGCAGACAAGAGCATCCCAGGAGAGCAGACGAGGATATCCCAGGAGAGCAGACGAGGGCATCCCAGGAGAGCAGACAAGAGCATCCCAGGAGAGCAGACGAGGGCATCCCAGGAGAGCAGACAAGAGCATCTCAGGAGAGCAGACGAGGACATGCCAGGAGAGCAGACGAGGGCATCCCAGGAGAGCAGACAAGGGCATCCCAGGAGAGCAGACGAGGGCATCCCAGGAGAGCAGACAAGGGCATCCCAGGAGAGATCCATATGAAGATATCCCCAAGAGATCCCAATGAAGATATCCCAGAGATCCCAATGAAGATATCCCAAGCGGTCCTCATGAAGACCCTCCACTCCACGAAGACAACACCAGAAACCAAGGTAATTGCATTACAAGATAAAAGGAAAAACTGGCGAAAAGAAACTTTCGTATCAAACTTTCCGGAGTTCTTTGGCAACACCTGGTCGCTCCCGGAGGCTTCACCTGGGAATTTCTGAGACGAGACGAGAGAAATTACAGGTGAGAGTTGCTCTGGGAGAGTCTGGGGGGGGGGTCAGGGGAGAGAGAGTGCAGGGGTTGAGGAGAAAGAAGTCTGCAAAGTGAGAGTGGAATAGGGAGAGAGAGAGAGAGAGAGAGAGAGAGAGAGAAACTATTTTATCAGGATCGTAAAATAAAATTCGGCTGATACAAGAAATGTTGCTCCGACAAACTTTACACAATTTTCAATGGAAGAAAACAATATATATATATTCTTTTGTGCGAGTAACGATGAGCTAATATAGTTTGCAGTCCGTACTCGTAAACAAATGATCATTTAATTCAACTGCTAAACTTACTATTTATGAGTCAAAAGGTCTTTATAACACACACAACTCACAACTAATCACGCTCGAATATTTCTTAAATTCTGCTGGAACCATACACCTGTACAAGGCAATATAAACAAGTCCAACAGAACTAAAACACCTAACCTAACCTACACCTGACTTTACACACAAAAAATATCATGATAAAATGATTTACAGGGAATCATTCAGATAAACAACGTATATCAGCCCAATTTTAGGATATGCAGCACCTACATGGATTGTTTAACCTTGTAAAGCATAAAACTTAAAGTCAGGGGGATTTACTCATTACTGGTACCAGAAATAGAGTCGACCAAGGCGACAGATTAGAGTGAATGTCACCTGTTGAAGTGATGTATAGAGTGAACACTTCCACAAGGGCCGTGATGAGGGTTCGAACCTATATCCGAGAGGACCGTCGTCACGGCCCTTGTGGATTTGTTCATTTGATGCATCACGCTATTGTGATTTCTGTGTGTAATGTATAGAGTGCTGCCAGTATTCATAGAACAGGTTTTCTGAAAGTATCTTACCATCCTCGCCTATATACATGCATATATACATACTATGTACTCTACGTACATACATATGGATACATGTAACACAATAATATGTGTCTCAAGAGCATACTCACCGCCCCGAAGTCGTTCAGGCCGAAGTTCTCTTCATGGTTCCCAGGAGAGTCCGCGAGAGAGGAGTCTGCCCTGCCGGAATGGTTGTGTTGTTAGTGACATGGTTGTTAATGACGTGGTTGTTAGTGACGTGGTTGTTAGTGACGTGGTTGTTAGTGACGTGGTTGTTAATGACATGGTTGTTAGTGACATGGTTGTTAATGACGTGGTTGTTAGTGACATGGTTGTTAGTGACGTGGTTGTTAGTGACGTGGTTGTTAATGACATGGTTGTTAATGACGTGGTTGTTAGTGACGTGGTTGTTAATGACATGGTTGTTAGTGACATGGTTGTTAATGACGTGGTTGTTAATGACGTGGTTGTGAGTGACGAGGTTGTTAGTGAAGTGGCTGTTAGTGCCATGGTTGTTATGCTAGTGACGTAAGAATTAATTCCCTGATAGTAAGCGGTTTTGTCAGTGCTTTTTTAGTGTGTAAATCCATGGTCAATACTCTCCAAGTTAGTCCATGGTCAATACTCTCCTAGTTTGTTAGTCCATGGTCAATACTCTCCTAGTATGTTAGTCCATGGTCAATACTCTCCTAGTTTGTTAGTCCATGGTCAATACTCTCCTAGTATGTTAGTCCATGGTCAATACTCTCCTAGTTTGTTAGTTCATGGTCAATGCTCTCCTAGTATGTTAGTCCATGGTCAATGCTCTCCTAGTTTGTTAGTTCATGGTCAATGCTCTCCTAGTATGTTAGTCCATGGTCAATGCTCTCCTAGTATGTTAGTCCATGGTCAATGCTCTCCTAGTATGTTAGTCCATGGTCAATGCTCTCCTAGTATGTTAGTCCATGGTCAATGCTCTCCTAGTATGTTAGTCCATGGTCAATGCTCTCCTAGTTAGTCCATGGTCAATGCTCTCCAAGTTAGTCCATGGTCAATGCTCTCCAAGTTAGTCCATAGTCAATGCTCTCCAAGTTAGTCCATGGTCAATGCTCTCCAAGTTAGTCCATGGTCAATGCTCTCCTAGTATGTTAGTTCATGGTCAATGCTCTCCTAGTATGTTAGTTCATGGTCAATGCTCTCCAAGTTAGTCCATGGTCAATGCTCTCCAAGTTAGTCCATGGTCAATGCTCTCCAAGTTAGTCCATGGTCAATGCTCTCCAAGTTAGTCCATGGTCAATGCTCTCCTAGTATGTTAGTTCATGGTCAATGCTCTCCTAGTATGTTAGTTCATGGTCAATGCTCTCCTAGTATGTTAGTTCATGGTCAATGCTCTCCAAGTTAGTCCATGGTCAATGCTCTCCAAGTTAGTCCATAGTCAATGCTCTCCAAGTTAGTCCATGGTCAATGCTCTCCAAGTTAGTCCATGGTCAATGCTCTCCTAGTATGTTAGTTCATGGTCAATGCTCTCCTAGTATGTTAGTTCATGGTCAATGCTCTCCAAGTTAGTCCATGGTCAATGCTCTCCTAGTATGTCCCTGACCACACATAAATGAAGTATTTTTGCAAGCAAGTGAGTTATTCCTGTAGACATACCTGCTCCAGTATTGAAAACCATGAAAAACAATGCTTTTTAGACATTTTTTTATTTCCCAATTGCTTGTGCCTGAAAAGTATAGAGCATGGATATTATTCCCACCACCCAAACTTTGCTTTAGTGACCATCAGAGTCAGCTTTGAAAATTTAGCTATTTCCTTAAAAAAAAAAATCACTATTTCGTTTACCTATTTACCTATTATTTCCATGAGTTTTACTTATACATAATAAAAGTATTTTGTGTGATTCTATACGTTGTAAGATGTATACAAGTCAGATATGTATAATTAAGCATTTTGGAGTAGATGTTTTGGAGGAAAATGATGTCTTTTCGAGATTTCGTGTTTACCATAAATTTTTGCTCTCTAAAATATTAAAAAACTACAAAAATCAAGTAAAAATTAACAGAAATCAATAAAGTAAAATGAAAAGGACAGAATTAATCTGTTTGCACTTTGTTGCTAAAATACATATGATTCAAGGGGAGGTATGCATCCGTATGTATGAAGTATGTATGCGTGTTGATCTCCGCTTCTCGGTGTGAATGTACTGAGCACGTTAACCGCTCGTGTTGCGCACGTTAACCGCTCGTGTTGCACACGTTAACCGCTCGTGCTGCGCACATTAACCGCTCGTGTTGCGCACGTTAACCGCTCGTGTTGCGCACGTTAACCGCTCGTGTTGCGCACGTTAACCGCTCGTGTTGCGCACGTTAACCGCTCGTGTTGCGCACGTTAACCGCTCGTGTTGCACACGTTAACCGCTCGTCCCACACGCAATAACCGCTCGTCCCACACGCAATAACCGCACGTCCCACACGCAATAACCGCACGTCCCACACGCAATAACCGCACGTCCCACACGCAATAACCGCACGTCCTGCACGTAATAACCGCTCGTCCTGCACTCACACATCTTGCAATAAGACTGACCTCTGCAGGATGAGATAGGGTGATGAAAATGCATCAATAATGTTAGCAAATTATTGCTAACAAATTAGCCAATTTAATAGATTGCATTTTTAACTGTGAGGGCAGAATAGGGAAATGGGGAGAGGGAGGGAATAGGGAGGCAGAAGAAATAGGAAGAGAATTGACATTTATAGCAGCGCGTGGCGGCCATTTTTCCCTCCTCCCCCCCCCCCTGGAGGGGAAACCATGGAAACATGGGAGAGGTAACCATGGAAACCATGGGAGTGTGTATCTAACCGGATTTAATGTTGTCAGGAGGAGAGGGAAGGGGATTTGTGCATTGTTAGTTGCGGTCTGATGGCTTTCTGAAGGTTGTCGTCATACAGTTAATAGGTAAGGTTATCATACAGGTGTGGTTGGTATATAGTTAAAAGAAACAGGTACCACACATACAGTTAAAGTTGCATATACCAGTTCAGAAGTGGAGTTGACTGGTAAGGGGGGTCCAGTTTACGCTAAAACATTGTCACTTGTCATTTCACATGTTTGGGGGTTGAGTTGCCATACCCATTGATGCCCAGGGCGGACACGTGTCTGGGAGTGCCAGGGGCATCATCATCTTATTAAACATTAACAGTCATATGTTGCAATGTTGACACGATGCAACTTGCAGGCCTTCGGGGTCTGTTGAATCAATGGAGAGGGAAGAGCAGTTTCTTGAACTGTTCATTGATGTTATTAGACAATTGACTTGGTATGCTCGTCGGGGTGCTAGTGAGAAGAGAGTTGGTGGTGTAGTGAAGTGCAGTGAAGTGAGTACTTGGTTGGTACTCATTCTTAGCTCATTCGATAAGATTGTTTGTGAAGGGTCTTGTTAAGATTCTCTGTGTGTCTCTCTCTCTGTCCCTCTCTCTGTCCCTCTCTCTCTGTCCCTCTGTCTGTCCCTCTCTCTGTCTCTGTCCCTCTCTCTCTGTCCCTCTCTCTGTCTCTGTCCCTCTCTCTGTCCCTCTCTCTGTCTCTGTCCCTCTCTCTCCCTCTCCTCTTAACTTCATATAGAGCATTGTTTTTGTTGAGAGGGGAAAAATGTCCACATTGCTTTCACTTTCACCTCACTGGTTAGGGAAATACTATTTTCCCCCCCTTTTCTTCCCCCACCGCGGGAAAGTTTCCTGCAAGAATCGATGTTTACATTTTACTGTGTTTACTTTCCTCTAAACACTCGATCTCTTTATTTACGACGCGGACCTCTTTATTTACGAATGGGATCTCTTTATTTACGACGCGGACCTCTTTATTTACGACGCGGACCTCTTTATTTACGACGCGGACCTCTTTATTTACGACGCGGACCTCTTTATTTAAGAGAGCTACAATTCCGGGGTTACGACGTGGCAACCACATCTCTACATGTACAGAACCGGTTCTATAACCCGTTGGAACCCGGTAAATAACAATTTCCTCCTTTAGTATTACGTCTAAATGTATCCTAAAATTATTTCACACAATGGCTCTTGTGGATATAGTGATCAATGGTGAACTTGTCAGCACTAATCATGAACAAGCTCCACAAGTCCAAGCTCCACAAGTCCCTCTTCCTAATATTTGGAGGGTGATGAAGGGCAGAGAGCCACTCCAGCTTGTAAATAAGTTACAAAGCCTAGTGAAAAGTGATGGTGATCACTTTTCTCACCATCATTTCCTGGTGATGGTGAGGTGCCTTGCGTTAGTGCTGTGGCGGCTTGGCTTGCCTTGGTAAGCCAAGGCAAGTAAAGGCAAGCCATAACATGACATGACATGACATGACAGGACAGGACATGACAGGACATGACAAGGCAACCCAAGGCTCAAGCAAGCAATGAATGAATGAATGAATGAAGGAAGGAAGGAAGGAAGGAAGGAAGGAAGGAAGGAAGGAAGGAAGGAAGGAAGGAAGGAAGGAAGGAAGCAACAAACACTCGTACAGTTGTTTATATTCCTGCTGGGGATTTGGTTATCTGTTCCAACAGAGCGTTGGATATCTAATCCCACAGAGGATTGGTTATGTAAAGCAAGATAGAGGTCTGGTGGATTAATCCCTCAGAGGCTGGATTATCCAACATCCATCTCCCTCCCCCCCCTCCCAATAACACATTCTGTGTTCCAATTACCATAATTTTAAGTAATATTTCCACCAATTTAACTGTTGAAATTAAAGCCTGTATTTTGTTTAATGTATTGTGAGGAGATAAGGTGAACCATAATTTGTGACTATTGATATCTAAGATACCTTTTTTATTATTAATTATTTTTACTACATTCTTTAAATACATCGTGTCATTGTTGGATGAGCTGGGACCAGCCTCTTGAACCTTCAATGTTCAACAAGTACATTCTTAAACCCAGAACACAACATAAAACCGTATTACTTTTTTTCTAACGTGACCACGTGGTAACTACGTCGTTACAAAGTTGTAACAAGGTTACAAATAGTACAATTATTCAAGAAAATAACATTGGAATATCTCCACTCGGTCTAAGACGAGAGGTTTTAAAATATTATCTTTCTACGCGAAGAAGGAGTCTATTTATTACTGGTCATTTGAAGGTTTCACAATTTTGGCCGAGGAAATAAGAATTTTTGTGCTCGGATGGTGAGGGCGGTCATAAGGTAAGAGCAGGTGTCCGGACCGGACCAAAGGGTCCACGGCCTGGTCATAACACTTAGGTTAATGACCACTTCGCGCTGGCCTGGGTAATGGAGACTTTAACGGTATATACAAAGACTCCTTCGCCTTCCTCTCTCCCACACAACTGCGTCCAAACACACCCCTGTGTCTTGGCCACACACCTGCGTCTCGGTCACACACCTGTGCCCACACACGGCTCGGCCAGACACCCCTACAGGCGGGCCTAAAGACAGCTGTCTGGACAAAACCTCTGTGGGAACCGACCTGTGAGATTTATATTTATTTAATTTATATGAATTTATATTTACGTTAATTTATATACTTGGACAAAACCTCCTGGACAAAACCTGGACAAAACTGGACAAAACTGGACAAAACCTGGACAAAACCAGTGTAGATAAGAGTAAACAACATTCAGCTCATCGTGCCATACAGTGAGCCTAGGATCGTTATTGATCCTGTAACCAGCATTTCCTCTTTAACTCAAGCTTAATTTGCTTTTAAACTGTCTCTGTGATTCGTCCAGGTCCTCTCTTAACACAAGCTGGGACCAGCCTCCTGAACCTTCAATGTTCAACAAGTACATCCTTAAACTCAGAACACAACATAAAACCCCCATTACGTCATTTAACGTGACCACGTGGTAACTACGTCGTGACAAAGTTGTAACAAGGTTACAAATAGTACAAAAGTGACGTTGAGGTAACGTCATCGAGTTAGGATCATATGGGTCCCCTTCAGGTAGCATATTTAATCCTTGGAGTGAGCATAATATCCAATAACCTTGACCCTCCCTGTAACGAGCATTGATTCTAACTCGAGCACCCGGAGCGAGCGTAACCTACTTTAACAGGCGCGTGTATCAGCTTCTTTAACGTAGTCCCTGGATAAGCTTAGTATATTAACTTAGTTCTGGTGTATACGTCCTTGCTTCAGGCAAGGTGTTTATGGGGATACACAGCAAGACTGGCTGGGTAGTTTATCACTCTGGAGGGATATGAGGGCGAGGTGCTGGGATATGAGGACAAGGAGCTGGGATACGAGGACAAGGGGCTGGGATACGAGGACAAGGAGCTGGGATACGAGGACAAGGAGCTGGGATACGAGTACAAGGAGCTGGTATACGAGGACAAGGAGCTGGTATACGAGGACAAGAATCTGGGATACGAGTACAAGGAGCTGGTATACGAGGACAAGGAGCTGGTATACGAGGACAAGAATCTGGGATACGAGGACAAGAATCTGGGATACGAGGACAAGAATCTGGGATACGAGGACGTAGCAAAGAAGCGGTAACCACAACCACTTGGACCGTCGGAGATCGAACTCCGACGGCCCTGCAAGAAGCTACCGGCTGCCATTCTACCAACAAGTGCAAGTAGATAGATAGCGTATCAGCTCAAACACTTCGTAGTCGGTCACGTGCAACAAAAAAAATCTTCACAGATATCAAACACAAAAAAGACCTTGAACCAGCCCCCAGAAGTGGCCACCAGTCTTCCTCTCTGTGCGTGTTTAGATCAAACTAAACTGCATATCAAGAGCTTTTTTTGCTCTCTGCAAAAAAAAAACAGACTCTTTTTTTTCCTTTTTAACAGTAAATAGAAACTTAGTTACAACTTGTACAAATTGTTACAATTCTGGATGAACTGAACAGTGCTTAATTATATCTCTATGCGAACATATAGTTAACAAATGTTAGTTTGATAGTTAAGAGATGTTTGTGACATAGTTGCGTCCTAACGACCACACAACGTTCCCACAATGTTGCGTTTTGACTGTAGTTAGGTTGCTGTAAACGTTGAAATAAGGTTGTATTAACGTTGTAAACTAGTCGTGGTTAGGTTGGGTGATTGTCTGTGTTTGAGCAGCTGTTGTGTGGTTGTTGGGTCATTACCTGGCCCCGGGGGTCACTATACCTGGCCCCTGGGGTCACTATACCTGGCCCGGGGGTCACTATACCTAACCCGGGGGTCACCATACCTGGCCCCGGGGGGTCACCATACCTGGCCCGGGGGTTACCATACCCCTGGGGTCATTATACCTGGCCCCTTGGGTCACCATACTTGGCCCCGGGGGTCACTATACCTGACCCGGGGGTCACTATACCTGGCCCGGGGGTCACTATACCAACGTGGGCCCATACTGGCCCATGTTGGCCCATGTGGCACTACATTAATGGCTTTAAAACATGCAACTGAAGATGGCATTATACATATGTGTTACAGGTGTGTTACTATGAGGTAGACTACCATGGAGTATTACAGGTGTGTTACTCTGAGGTAGACTACCATGGAGTATTACAGGTGTGTTACTCTGAGGTAGACTACCATGAGTATTACAGGTGTGTTACTCTGAGGTAGACTACCATGAGTATTACAGGTGTGTTACTCTGAGGTACACTACCATGGAGTATTACAGGTGTGTTACTCTGAGGTAGACTACCATGGATGATTACAGGTGTGTTACTCTGAGGTAGACTACCATGGAGTATTACAGGTGTGTTACTATGAAGTAGACTACCATGAGTATTACAGGTGTGTTAATATGAGGTAGACTACCATGAGTATTACAGGTGTGTTACTCTGAGGTAGACTACCATGGAGTATTACAGGTGTGTTACTATGAAGTAGACTACCATGGAGTATTACAGGTGTGTTACTATGAAGTAGACTACCATGAGTATTACAGGTGTGTTAATATGAGGTAGACTACCATGAGTATTACAGGTGTGTTACTCTGAGGTAGACTACCATGGAGTATTACAGGTGTGTTACTATGAAGTAGACTACCATGAGTATTACAGGTGTGTTAATATGAGGTAGACTACCATGGAGTATTACAGGTGTGTTACTCTGAGGTAGACTACCATGGGGCATTACAGGTGTGTTACTATGAGGTAGACTACCATGGAGTATTACAGGTGTGTTAATATGAGGTAGATTACCATGGAGTATTGCAGGTGTGGGTGAGGGTGAGGTAGCGGATCCCAAGATCGTAGTACATCCTGAGTACAGAGAGGCTGGCGCCCATCAGATGACCGCCCTCCACGCCCAGCAGACTGGCTATCCGTCCTGAGTTGTAGACCTCCATCAGACCTGACGAAGTACACGCACACAGGAAGAAGAAGAACCACTCAGAATGTTGAATCAGAATGATGTTCATTCCTGCTGTGTCACAATGTATTTATTGGAGATTGGGAGGGGAGGGAGGGAGGGAGAGAGGGGAGGGAGAGGGAGAGGGAGAGGGAGAGAGGGGGGGAGGGGAGGGGGGAGTATGGGGAGGGGAAACTGGGGGGGTAATGCAGGGGGGGGGAAGAAGAGAGGATAGAGATGGAAGGGTAGATGAGGCGACAGGAAAGGGTAGGAAGGAAGAAGATAGAAGAGGAAAGGGTTGGAGAGGAGCCAAGGGAGGAAGAGGGAGGACACAGGGAAGAGGACACAGGGAAGAGGACACAGGGAAGAGGACACAGGGAGAGAACACAGGGAGAGGACACAGGGAGCAGGGAGAGGACACAGGGAGCAGGGAGAGGACACAGGGAGCAGGGAGAGGACACAGAGAGCAGGGAGAGGACACAGGGAGCAGGGAGAGGACACAGGGAGCAGGGAGAGGACACAGGGAGCAGGGAGAGGACACAGGGAGCAGGGAGAGGACACAGGGAGGATGGTGTAAGTGAACACATTCACATACAGATAAACTATAATGTAACATATACAAGAAGGCGGGGCTTAAAGAGCTAGACTTTACTACTTTATAGTTACTGATAAGTACGCTCCCCCCCCCCCACACACACACTCCCTCCCCTCTCCCCCTCACACACACACTCTCCCCCCCCCCCCCCCCCCACACACACACTCCCTCCCCTCTCCCCCCCACACACACACTCTCCCCCCCCCCCCCCCCCCACACACACTCCCTCCCCTCTCCCCCCCCACACACACTCCCTCTCCTCTCCCCCCCCACACACACTTTCCCTCCCCCCCCTCACTCACAGACTCATACTCACAGATACACACACTCACACCCACACACACACACACTCACAGACCCACACACTCACAAACCCACACACTCACAAACCCACACACTCACAAACCCACACACTCACAAACCCACACACTCAGACCCCACACTCACAAACCCACACACACAGACCCCACACTCACAAACTCACACACACAGACCCCACACACACAAACCCACACACTCACAAACCCACACTCACACACTCAGCGTGCGGTAATCTTACTGGCGTGGGACTGCGCGTAGCCGAGATGTTGAGGATAGCGCGCTATCATGCGCTTAATGACATCAATCTGCTCCAGCGTGACCTGCGCCGCGTTAAGGTACTGCGCACCGCACGGAACATACGCCGCCCAGAACTGCGCAAGAACAAAAAGAACAACGCTAATAACAGTATCGTGAAGAACAAAGGTTAACTGTAACAGAGTTGTTCAGTCATTAACAGTGAAATAATTCACAATGTCGAGGGGAATATGATTGTGGGAGACGATAATTTCCTCAGTGACTTGTTATGGAGGAATATTCAGACACGGAAATATATATATATATATATATATATATATATATATATATATATATATATATATATATATATATATATATATATATATATATATATATATATATATATATATATACTCGCATAATGTTAGTAATTAGACTATTGAAGATCAGAGGAGACATTGCGTTGGAACCTGTCGAGGTTCTCTACTTCTGCTACACTTGTCGACGTTTCACCTAATTTTGGAACACTTGTCGACGTTCCACCTGCTTCTGGTACACCTGTCGACGTTCCACCTACTTTTGGAACACTTGTCGACGGTCCACCTGCTTCTGCTACACTTGTCGACGTTCCATCTACTTCTGGAACACTTGTCGACGTTCCACCTGCTTCTGGTACACCTATCGACGTTCAACTTACTTCTGGTACGCCTGTCGACGTTCCACTTACTTCTGCTACACTTGTCGACGTTCCACCTACTCCTGGTACGCCTGTCGACGTTCCACCTACTCCTAACACACACCTGTCGACGTCCCACTTATTTCTGCTACACTTGTCGACGTTCCACCTACTCCTAACACACAGCTGTCGACGCCCATCTATTCATGTCACCTCTGTATACATCACCTAACTGTAGGGACACTCACCTGCGCTCCGACTCTGCCGTGTCGCATCCTGGCCAGGTCGGTGTGGGACCAGGGGGAGCTCCCCCAGGGCTCAACGGTGCTCAGGTTCTGGGACATGTCCACCTTCTCCAGTTTGTTGTGTACGAAGTTCCGGATGTTCCACGCCAGGTCGTTGTGCCTGGGGGAAGAAAATAGGCGGTAGGTTATCTTCTTGGGGGAAGAAAATAGGCGGTGGGTTATCTTCTTGGGGGAAGAAAATAGGCGGTGGGTTATCTTCTTGGGGGAAGAAAATAGGCGGTGGGTTATCTTCTTGGGGGAAGAAAATAGGCGGTGGGTTATCTTCTTGGGGGAAGAAAATAGGCGGTGGGTTATCTTCTTGAGGTTATCTTGCGATTATTTCGGGGCTTAGCGTCCCCGCGGCCCGGTTCACCTAGCTGTCAGGCGTCCTAGTGCCTGTATCTAGTGCCTGAGACTATGGTAGGCGGTGGGGGCCTGTGTGATATGACGATGGAACAAAATGTCCCACAAACTGTTTCGTATGATTACTGAACCTTGCTGGAAGGGGTAAGTGTGACTTTCAGGTAATTAGTGTGAGTTTGAGGTAGGAATGATGTGAGGGTGAGGATGTCACCCTCGGGGAGATCCCTGTGCCTTCACGACCCCCCTCTTGCAGACGAGGAGTCACAGTAACGTGGCTGAAATATGTTGACCAAACCACACACTAGAAAGTGAAGGGACGACGACGTTTCGTTCCGTCCTGGACCATTCTCAAGTCGGTTGTGTTTTATCCCCTCTTATTAGTGAGGGGATAAAACAGGGACATAGAAGGGGGGGTTTAACCATCGAGCTAAAACACGTTTTACAATGGAGTTTATCACTGCAGGGAAAGTAGGTAAACATCATTGTGTTGTGCAGGATAATGGCACTAACGAACACATCCGGAATTATGAGAAGAAAGTGCCAGGTCAGTAGCACTTTCCTATCAGTTAGTCCTATCCCAGGAGCTGGGATAGGACCAACGGAAGGAATGGTGCCAAACCACTTGGACCGTCGGGGATCGAGCTCAGACCTGCATGAAACGAAGCCTCCTCTGTACCGACTAGTCCATTGGATGGGGCAGCTTGTTTAGTTAAAGTATTCTTACCAAACTGTGCTTCAGAGGTTTTATCGTGGAAATATTTCACAGTAAAAATTCTTACCTAAACTGCTATGAATAGTTAATCAAATTATTACACTGCAATAATGGGACGTATAGGTGGGTGTGTACTCACCTATTTGTTCTTACATGATCGAACATCAGCTTTTGGACCCACGCCTTTCCAGAATCCGGTTGTTTAATGCAATAATCCCAAACCTATTTTTAATTCAAATTTTCGGAATTTTGAATCATATTAGCATCTACAACCTACTCGTTTAGTTCAAACTAGCAGTTGAAGGTGGCTATTAAACTCTGACCCTCTATAAGTGGCGTAACAACCCGTCTTCATTAACAAGGCCAAATACTAATTAATCCAACTGTCAGCCACTACACTGTTGAATGACAGCAAACACTTCACACATGATATGCAATTGATTCATGCATTGAAATTGATCATAAATAGTGCTCCTCTAATCTCTTTCTCTGCCTCCCAAGACGCATGTGGGGGCATAGCCTCCAAGCAACACCCACGCATTACAGAAGATTGCCAACCCAACCCAAAAATAACTAACATAAACTAACTTAGTCCCAACTATTCACACACAATTTTCATAAACATTTGTTTATTATTTTAATTAATTTACAAGGAAGTGTCGGGTGATCTTAGTGGAGCATATACCACCATAATGAGCCGTCCAGGAGCCTAGGGGGCCCAGGTGAGACACGCAGGTGAAGGTGGCTATAGAACAGTGGGGCTACACAGTCACCTACACCTGCCTGGTATATGTGGCATAGAGAACGTTGGAGGTCTCTATGGCACAGTGAATGTTGGAGCGGTCTCTACGGCACAGTGAATGTTGGAGCGGTCTCTATGGCACAGTGAATGTTGGAGCGGTCTCCATGGCACAGTGAATGTTGGAGCGGTCTCTATGGCACAGTGAACGCCTGCCAGTTAAAAAGGCAGGTAGAGCTAGTGATTATTAAGAGGGGGAGTTTCAGATGCCTGAGGTGAGTATTGATCTGCTGTGAGGGGTGCCATGCCAGGCTCTGAACCCCCTTAACACCAGGGGAGGGTGCCATGCCAGGCTCTCAACCCCCCCTTAACACCAGGGGAGGGTGCCAGGCCAGGCTCTGAACCCCCTTAACACCAGGGGAGGGTGCCATGCCAGGCTCTGAACCCCCCCTTAACACCAGGGGAGGGTGCCATGCCAGGCTCTGAACCCCCTTAACACCAGGGGAGGGTGCCATGCCAGGCTCTGAACCCCCTTAACACCAGGGGAGGGTGCCATGCCAGGCTCTGAACCCCCTTAACACCAGGGGAGGGTGCCATGCCAGGCTTGAACCCCCTTGACACCAGGGGAGGGTGCCATGCCAGGCTCTGAACCCCCTTAACACCAGGGGAGGGTGCCATGCCAGGCTCTGAACCCCCTTAACACCAGGGGAGGGGTGCCATGCCAGGCTCTGAACCCCCTTAACACCAGGGGAGGGTGCCATGCCAGGCTCTGAACCCCCTTAATACCAGGTGAGGGGTGCTATGCCAGGCTCTGAACCCCCTTAATACCAGGTGAGGGGTGCTATGCCAGGCTCTGAACCCCCTTAACACCAGGTGAGGGGTGCCATGCAGGTTCTGAACCCCCCTTAACACCAGGGGAGGGGTGCCATGCCAGGCTCTGAACCCCCTTAACACCAGGAGAGGGGTGCCATGCCAGGCTCTGAACCTCCCTTAACACCAGGGGAGGGGTGCCATGCAGGTTCTGAACCCCCCTTAGCACCAGGGGAGGGTGCCATGCCAGGCTCTGAACCCCCCTTAACACCAGGGGAGGGGTGCCATGCAGGTTCTGAACCCCCTTAACACCAGGGGAGGGGTGCCATGCCAGGCTCTGAACCCCCTTATCACCAGGAGAGGGGTGCTATGCCAGGCTCTGAACCCCCCTTAACACCAGGGGAGGGGTGCCATGCAGGTTCTGATCCCCCCTTAACACCAGGGGAGGGGTGCCATGCAGGTTCTGAACCCCCCTTAACACCAGGGGAGGGGTGCCATGCCAGGCTCTGAACCCCCTTAACACCAGGAGAGGGGTGCCATGCCAGGCTCTGAACCTCCCTTAACACCAGGGGAGGGGTGCCATGCAGGTTCTGAACCCCCCTTAGCACCAGGGGAGGGTGCCATGCCAGGCTCTGAACCCCCCTTAACACCAGGGGAGGGGTGCCATGCAGGTTCTGAACCCCCCTTAACACCAGGGGAGGGGTGCCATGCCAGGCTCTGAACCCCCTTATCACCAGGAGAGGGGTGCTATGCCAGGCTCTGAACCCCCCTTAACACCAGGGGAGGGGTGCCATGCAGGTTCTGATCCCCCCTTAACACCAGGGGAGGGGTGCCATGCAGGTTCTGAACCCCCCTTAACACCAGGGGAGGGGTGCCATGCCAGGCTCTGAACCCCCTTATCACCAGGAGAGGGGTGCTATGCCAGGCTCTGAACCCCCCTTAACACCAGGGGAGGGGTGCCATGCAGGTTCTGATCCCCCCTTAACACCAGGGGAGGGGTGCCATGCCAGGCTCTGAACCCCCCTTAACACCAGGGAAGGGTTGCCAGGCTTTGAACCCCCCTTTTAACACCAGGGAAAAGATGCCAGGCTTTGAACTCCCCCTCTTAACACCAGGGGGAAGGATGCCAGGCTCTGAACCCCCCTCTTAACACCAGGGGAAGGGGGTACAAGACCAGTGGAGGTTCATCAGTCTGAACGTCAAAATACGGTGTACTATTCAAGCGAACGACTTGTGACCACTGAACTACCAGGGGTTCCTATGAGCAGCGAGCGTTAACGAGGCTTTTAAGCAGGAGATAAATACCCGGACTTGAAATGTAAGTCCAGTTTCACCCAATACTTTGATAAAAGTTTATTTACACTGTTCTCACGAGACAAAAATTAAGCACCCGTAGTGAATTATTAAGTTGTAGCATTGATGTAATACATTATGTGTTCTGTATTAACTATGTATTTATGTGTCTTGATGTGTCCTCTGTGTGACGTCACACAGTTGGTGGTGTGGGGGTGGAGGGGTGTAGAGGGGAGTAGGTGGTGGGGATGGAGTATAGAGGGGTGTAGGTGGAGTGTAGAGGGGTGTAGGTGGTGTGGATGGAGTGTAGAGGGGTGTAGGTGGTGTGGATGGAGTGTAGAGGGGTGTAGGTGGGGTGTAGAGGAGTGTAAATGGTGTGGATGGAGCGTATTGGGTGTAGGTGGTGAGGACAGGGTGTAGTGGGTGTAGGTGGTGTGGATGGGGTGTAGAGGGGTGTAGGTGGTGTAGAGGGGTGTGGACGGGGCGTAGTGGGGTGTAGGTGGTGGGAACGCGAGAGTATGAGCTGCCAGAGCGCAGGTATTTTTACCTGAGGTAATTACCAGGGAGGTTAATTAACCAGGGATTACGCACCTTCCCTTGCCCGGACTTCAACAAGATTCTCATGGTGGCTGAGTTCTGCCAGTGTGCCCGCCTCTTCATCGTTATCAACATCCTTTCCTTCCCCTTTTTCGTCCTCCACCTCCTCTTCCTACTCTTTTTCCTTCTTACTAGTCTTCCTCCCCCTCTTCCTTTCTCCTCTACTTCCTACCTCCTACCAAGATTCCTGGCCAGCTTCTGGTGTCTAAAAGAACCTTTATTGAGTTTGTGCTAACTGGAGTCATGAGAGCCTGCTCTTCCATCTCATCAACTTCATCAAGTTCTCCTTCCTTCCACTCCATCCGTCTCTCATATATCTCCCCTTCCCACCCTCTCCCATCAAACCCTCACTACTCTCCCCTCTTCTGCTCAACTTCACCCCCCTCTATTCACTGAAGAAACAATTCTTACAAGCATCTGGAAGATGTTGTGACGTTTCAGAGAGATGTTGACACGTGTTGACCCCCCATGGAATCACTACACGTTTAATGGTCATTAACAAGGTCACAGAAGGCCCCGGTGAATGTCATACACTGATGTCATACACTGTCATATACACTACCATGTCCTCAACTGTCACATTGTTTCGTCTCTTAGACTTCGAAAG